ATCCCTAGTCATTTGACCCTTAACACCCCTAGTCCTTTGACCCTGATCACCCCTAGTCCTTTGACCCTGATCACCCCTAGTCCTTTGCCGAAATGTAGCATTGAAATCATTATACTGTAAAAGTATAGAATTATTAACCTGGCTAACAAGCAATCTCAATTTTAAGATATTAGCTTAAAGTGCCATTTTTAAAGAAATTACTGTCAGCTAATCTCAGTGGCAATATTACTTTATGTATAAATCGTTCAAATGTAGTATCTGTATTTAATTTGATATGAGACTAGTGTTGCCTTCATACACACACACATAAAACAACCTTCAAATCTGGCATGTAGGGTGGATATGGAGCTAAAGGAGTTTACACGTTTCTGTAACTTGCAACTTGAATTAGCACAAAGACTTAAAAGCATTTGATATTCTCTTGTGTTCACACACGAATTCCTGACAAATCCATTTTTGTTAAGAGATATTGACAAACCTGTCCAAACCCTCATTATGAAATCATTATCTCATGCAATATTGAATGAGCGGAAAAAACGGTCAAGTCTACAACCCTGAACAACAAAAATGTTCATTTTTTGTGTAACTTTATCCGATTAATAAATTATTTTTTCAGAAAATTCGTCGTCCACACGTAAAACAATGTTTTTCTTGCAATTAATTAAAAGGCTACCTATCTCACAACTTTATTCAATAAATTGAGAAGTCGCGGCCGATCCACATCCAAGAATTCCGTATTCCCGTTGCAGCCGCAATTTCGTACATATCGGTAGGAAACTGTTGAATTTACTTATGACTGTCATGAACATATGTAAAATCTACTAATGGAAACAAAATAGTAGCAACATAAAACCGTATTTTTGAAAATACCTAACAAACATTTTCAATAAATTTTCACCTTCCGGAATTCGATGTAGCCGTTATATGTTTCCTAGTCCGAATTATTCTGACGTTTTATCGACTTTTTTCATATCGGTCTGTCGTCGATTAACGTAATCGACGACAGACCGATATGAAAAAAGTCGATAAAACGTCAGAATAATTCGGACTATATGTTTCCGTGCCTCGAATTTGATTCAGTGTGCAAAGAAAGATAACTCGAACACACTTCAAAAAGGTACATACATTTCATGTATATGTTTAGTGTAGTCTATTATCGGTTTTATTTTATAGTTAATTATTTTTCATTCTTTTCCCATTTAAGATCGATGAAAATTGGAAGTTCACGGCAAAACAAGATTAACGTTCCTTTAATTTGCAAACGCGTACGGTGTTTACCGATTTAAGAATGTCTCCTTCGCGCTTCGACAGTGGAAAAAAACTTGCGATGAGGTGAGACATCATTTGCATACGATTCTATCGTACTTTTGACAAACTACAAAAAAGACTTCGTCAGGAATGAAAAAAAGTCACAGTTTCTTAATGAGTTATAATTTTTTATGTTTTCCGGACGAACTTCCTGTAATCTTTTGTGAGTTTACAGACGATGGACAAACGTCTAATGTATCCTCGTGAAGTGTCAAACAGGTTACGTTGTAACGACAATGGCGGCGCGGAAATAGAAACGACTTTTATAATCTTTAAAACGCAGTGAAAGCAAATATATGTGTGTTTCCTCAATTTCAAAAAAAATCTATTACTACAATGATAATTATTCATTTTTTTTTATTATCCCAATACATTGATGTCATTGCACCTGTTAAAGAAATATATTTGGAATTGTTCTTTAATCAGTCTTACGATACTTTTAATGTCCAATACTCAGTGTTATATACATGTACATGTATGTGTACGGTAAGACATAATATTTCAAAGTTGGTCAAATAAATTATTTTATTATTGTCTTGGTTCTAAAGGGGGTAAAACAAATAGATTCTTTGAGACTTTTTTTATTTACTCATCATTGTTTAAACAAAACAAAAAATAGATTATGTCCGCTCTGACTTACCAGCCAGGCGTAGGCCTGATTTAGAGCTGTCTGAGATTGAGTCTTAAGTAGTAGAATGTTCTGTTAATAATAGGAGATGGGCATGTGTAGGGGCTTATAAACCCCGTCCATGTCCGATAACCTATTCACGGTAAATATGACTATAGGTCTTGACAAGATTTCTACTATTTTTGAAAATATTTGAATGATTGGTGATCTTAGTTTTGACCGCTTGCACCAGACTAAGGGGAATGTATTGTTTAACTTATGTGATATTCTTAGCCTAACAAACTTGGTCAAGTCAGTCACTTGTTTTGTAAAAAAATGTCCCTTGTTGATGTCATTCATCATTTTAATTAACATGTGGGGTCAGTGACTGGTCTTATTGGTATTGCCATTAAAGGTCACGTCCCCCTAGTTAACAAGCAGAGAGTGAATTTTAGGAGTTATAAAAACTTTGATAAGGAATCTTTTAACCAAGCCATAAATATTATTCCTTTTCATGCTACATATGTTTTTGATGATACAGATGATATGTTTTGGGCACATGAGACCTTGCTCTAAGACATCACCGATGAACATGCCCCACTTAAAGAGAAAGTGCCAAGAGCTGAGAAATTACCCTATTTTAATAGTAAGCTTAGGCGGGCTGTTTATAAGGAAAAAAACCCAGTTTTTTAACAAGTTTAAAAAATGTGGTACACCTCAAAACTGGCTATTTTACAAAACCAAGAGAAATCTCGTTATAAAGATCAAGCGAGAATCTATGAGAGTTTGTTTTCTCGAACGCTTCCACGGCGGCCCAAACTCTAAAAATTTCTGGCCGACTATTAAACCTTTCTTATCTTAAAAGTGCCCTAATAGCGGCCATACTACCATTCTTCAGGAAGGCAACAGATAATTTCAGAACAAACTGCAGTCAGTGAGGTTTTTAATAACTATTTTACTAACGTGGCCACTGATATAGGCCAAAATCTTTAGTCTATATCAAACCTGTATACTCATGACAGTGTCAACTCCATTTCTTCCAATCTACACATAGATTACAGTTTCAAATTTGCCCCAATTAGTCCAATTACTTTCAAATATATTCAACCTTTTCCTGGCTGTCTTCAGGGCTGGCTCTGGGTGCCAGTCTACTCTGTTGCGTTTCCTGGAGGACTGGCGAATGGCCTTGGATGATAGTAAGTTGATTGGTACTATACTTATAGATCTCTCCAAGGCGTTTGACTGTCTTCCTCATAATCTCTTGGTGGAGAAGCTGCGGGCCTATTGGCTTGACAGAGGGGCTGTGAGCCTCATCAGCAGCTATCTATCCAACAGAACGCAGCCGATTCGACTGGGGCCCTCGGTCAGTGACTGGAGGAAGCTTGCAAAGGGAGTACTTCAAGGGTCAATTAAAGGACCCCCTTTATTCAATAATTTTATAAATGACATTTTTCTTACTACCAAGGATGGTATTTTATACAACTATGCTGGCGATAATACTTTATCTTACACACATGGAGATCAGCGTGTTTTGAAAAATGTTTTAGAAAGAGAATCCAATAAGCTAATATCCAGGGTCGAACACTATGGTATGAAAGCCAACCCTGATAAATGTCAGGCTATTTGTGTTGGCGCCAAGGCTACATATAGCAGCATACAGTCTTTTAACATCTCGGATTCTGTTATACAGTGTGAAGATTCTGTAAATCTTCTGGGTATCAATATTAACCACAACCTCAAGTTCGATACCCACATCTCTAAAATATGTAGAAAAGCTGCTAAACAACTAGCTGTTCTCAAAAGAGTTGGTGAATGTTTATCTCAACAACGCACAATGGCCATATTTCAATCTTTTATTCTATCAAATTTTAATTATTGCCCTCTGGCCTGGCACTTCTGCAGTAAAAGCTTTACATCAAAAATGGAAAAAATACAGGGGCGAGCCTTACGTAACTGTAAGTTGGATTATTTGCATGTACAAATGTAAGGCGTATTAGGTTGATGGCCAAAGAGGTTTTTAAGACTGCAAAAATCACCTGCATACATTCAAGATCTTATCATGCTTAACAATGTTTCTTATAATCTCAGGAAAGAAAACACAGTCGATATTCCAAGAGTGAACACCACCAGGTTTGGCTTGAAGTCCTTCCGCTTTGAGGCAGCCTGGGTGTGGAACAGTCTGCCTAATGAGCTCAGGACAGCTCGTTCTTTTCCGTTTTTTTCCAGACTGTTCGGCACCCTGGGTGACTCACTCTGCAACTGCTCCTTGTGTTCACGATAGTTTGTCACTGCTCGTTTTATGTATTTATAATTTTCTTACATATTTCTCATACTACATGTTATTTTATGATTTCGCTATGGTGCTTACTTGTTGTGTAGCGTGCTTGATGTGCTTTGCATGTCATATACTTTGCTGGCATTACTTGCCAATTGTATTACCTTTTGGTGCTTTTCCTTGTTGTGTAGTTTGCTGGTCATTCTTTGAAGTCATGTGATTTGCTTGCTGTGCTCTGTCGTTATGTAACTTGTGTGTAGTGCTTATTGTCATCTGATGTTTTGATTATTCCTCTTAACATTATTTTTACTATTCCTTTAAAATGTCCCATACACTCTGTATGTATTCTAGATTGTACTATATTATTGCTTAATCGGTACATTTTACACTTTTCATGTATATATATATATAGCCATATATGCTTTTAGTCACCCAACAGTTTTGCATGAGATTTGTGCTTCATCTTATCCATGTACTTTTAATTGATATGTTTAATTAAGTCTCCCATACTTAGCAATAGTAGTTTTATATCTTTGTTACCTCGCTGTGATATTTTTTTCTTTTGTTTAGAACTAATATTTCTGTTTTCATTTATCGACTATAAATAAAATGTCTCCATCATCATCAGCATCATCATCATCATCCATTAAGTGACAGATCTCCTTGATGGAGTGCAATATCTTGTATCTTATTATATTAAACCGTAAAATGAAAAAAATGTTGAGTGTGCTCTTTTCTTCAGACTACTAGAAGGGCCAATAATTAAGACCAATCAGAGACGTATGCTTTATACGTCTCTGGACCAATCAACAATTGTGGTAGTAAATGTGTTGGCGATGTAATAAAAAACTGACATAAAAATGAGAGTTATTCCCCTTAGTCCGCTCACGTGACACGGAAGTAGCCTAGCTCTGTCTGCAACAACAACATAATGCAGACGGTGGAGAAATGGAGGATGTTTTGACGTATAAACACGACCAGGACGGATGACAGGAGAGTTAGACTTGGAGGTGCAAACTCTAGGCTCTACATGACACGATGACCAGGTTGGTATGCTTATAAATTATGCAAGTAACGCATGAAGGAAAGAACTTAATTGGTAGAAAAGCTATCTGTCAAACAGTTGATAACAGTACTTTACTCGAACCTGCGCAGCGCTGTGCAGACGTTCCATTCCCATATAGTAATTCAATTTGCAACATACTTTAACTTTCCACTGAAGTGTCAGGTTTCAACAGCTACCGCTCGCGTGCATTCACTGTAGAAATATGTATATATGTGAAGGTATACTAGTGGGTGNGGGGTATGGTGGTTAAATTATGAAGGGTGGAAACAAGAAGATTGCGCATGTAGATAGATGATAAATGTTGAATGTGATTTTTAGGTACACCTTTAGTGGACAATATGTTTTAATGTTCACTAATTTATAATGTTCCCGGTGCATAACGTGCAGTTAAAAAGTGTTGTCTGTCTGTTTTAGTTTCGATTTCCTAACCATAGGAATGACTTAACATTTAAGAGGAATACGGTTTATGCTAGGAAAACAATAACTGAACTTTGAACATAAACCCATTTGCATTATGCAGCATATATTGATATAATAAAAACCCATATGTATTTTATGAAGCATATATATTGATATAATAAAAAAATAACATACCCCAGGACCATGACCTCCCTTGACACTTAATTGGCCCTTCTGCAGGATGACAACCTCCCTCAATAATTGCTTATATATCCTCAATTTACTAAAATTTATTTAACTTCTCTTAGGACCCTGATGTCCCTTAACACTTATTGTACCTATCAATCTCCCCCAGGCCCTTGGCATCCCCTAACAGTTACTTGGTACCCTTCAACCTACACAAGGACACCAACATTCATCCACAGTTACCCATCAACTAAACGTAGGGAATTTACCTCCATCCACAATTACCCATCAACCAACTCTAGGGCAATGACCTCCATCCACAGTTACCCATAAACCAACCCAAGGCAATGACCTCCATCCACAGTTACCCATCAACCAACTGTAGGGCAATGACTTCCATCTACAGTTACCCATAAACCAACCCAGGGCAATGACCTCCATCCACAGTTACCCATCAACCAACTGTAGGGCAATGACTAACATCCACATTTACCAATCAACCAACCCTAGAGCAATGACCTCCATCAACAGATACCTATCAAATAACCCTAGGGCAATGACCTCCATCCACAGTTACCAATCATACGACTGTAGGGCAATGACCTCCATCTACAGTTACCAATCAACCGACCATTGGGCAATGACCTCCATCCAAAGTGACCCAACAACCAACGTAGGGCAATGACCTTGATCGACAGTAAACAATCAACCACCCTAGGGCAATGACCTCCATCTGCAGTTACCCATCAACCAACCCGTGGGCAATGACCTACATACGCAGTTGCCTATCAACCAACCATTGGGCAATGACCTCCATCCAAAGTGACCCAACAACCAACCGTAGGGCAATGACCTTGATCGACAGTAAACAATCAACCACCCTAGGGCAATGACTTCCATCTGCAGTTACCCATCAACTAGTCCGAATTATTCTGACGTTTTATCGACTTTTTTCCTATCGGTCTTTCGTCGATTATTGTCAGAAGTCTGGCCCTCTATAATATACAGGAAATATGCGACCCGCGCCCGGAGCGCACTTCCAACTGATATTTTAGAAACAAATCGTCACTTTCACACACATGTCGCATATGGATCGAAAGATCTATTCTTTATGCACTAGGTGGTATCAATAACATGTTTCAAAGATCATTACGAAAAGTATTTTCAAATGTTTTCTATACCAACCCATGTTTTTAATGGAAATTAGGCCATGAGCAATGTCACATGACTTGAAGAGATCTCGCGTTACCAAAGATATTTCCCAACGTTATGACGTAGGCCGGCGAGATTTTAGTCACGTGGCATTAGAAGGCGGGGCTATAAAAAAAATAGAGTAAAAAAGAGTAAGTTTGAAAAAATATGTTTTTAGTGATTGTATTGGTTGTTTGGGGCATGTTATGTATGTTCATCTTGTGCATAAAGAATGGGTCTTTCGATCCATGTGCGACATGTGTGTGAAAGTGACGATTTGTTTCTAAAATATCAGTTGGAAGTGAGCTCCGGGCGCGGGTCGCATATTTCCCGCATATTTCCCGCATATTATAGAGGGCCGGAGTTCTGACGTTAATCGACGAAAGACCGATAGGAAAAAAGTCGATAAAACGTCAGAATAATTCGTACTACCCATCAACCAACCCTATGGCAATGACCTCCATCTGCTGTTACCTATCGACCAACCCTAAGGCAATGACCTCCATCTGCAGTTACCCGTCAACCAACCCTAGGGTAATGATCTATCCACAGTTACCCATCAACCAACCCTAGGACACTGACCGCCATCTGCAGTTACTCATCAACCAACCCTAGGGCTATGACCTCCATCTGCAGTTACTCATCAACCAACCTTACATTTAAGACACTGGCCTCCATCCATAGTTACCCATCATCCAACCTTAGGACACTGACCACCATACACAGTTACTCATCAAACAACCCTTGAGCAATGATCTCCATCCAGTTACTCATCAACCAACTGTAGGGCATTGACCTCTATTCACAGTTACTCATCAACCAACCCTAGAGCAATGACCTCCATCCACAGTTTCTCATCAACCAACATTACATGAATGACACTGGCCTCCATCAATGGTTACCCATCATCCAACCCTAGGACACTGACCGCCATCCACAGTTACTCATCAACCAACCCTAGGACAATGACCTCCATCCCCAGTTACCCATCAACCAACCCTACGGCAATGATCTCAATCCACAGTGACCCATCAACTGTCCGTATGGCAATGACCTCCATCCACAGTTATCCATCAACCAACTGTAGGGCAATGACCTCCATCCACAGTTACTCATCAAACAACCCTTGAGCAATGATCTCCATCCAGTTACTCATCAACCAACTGTAGGGCATTGACCTCTATTCACAGTTACTCATCAACCAACCCTAGGGCTATGACCTCCATCTGCAGTTACCCATCAACCAACCCTTGTGTAATGACCTCCATCTACAGTTTCTCATCAAACAACCCTTGAGCAATGATCTCCATCCAGTTACTCATCAACCAACTGTAGGGCATTGACCTCTATTCACAGTTACTCATCAACCAACCCTAGGGCTATGACCTCCATCTGCAGTTACCCATCAACCAACCCTTAGGTAATGACCTCCATCTGCAGTTACTCATCAACTAACCCTAGGGCAATGAGCTCCATCTGCAGTTACTCATCAACCAACTGTAGGGCATTGACCTCTATTCACAGTTACCCATCAACCAACATTACATGAATGACACTGGCCTCCATCAATGGTTACCCATCATCCAACCCTAGGACACTGACCGCCATCCACAGTTACTCATCAAACAACCCTTGTGTAATGACCTCCATCGACAGTTTCTCATCAAACAACCCTTGAGCCATGATCTCCATCCAGTTACTCATCAACCAACTGTAGGGCAGTGACCTCTATTCACAGTGACCCATCAACCAACCTTACAGGAAAGACACTGGCCTCCATCCATAGTTACCCATCATCCAACCTTAGGACACTGACCGCCATCCACAGTTACTCATCAACCAACTGTAGGGCAGTGACCTCTATTCACAGTGACCCATCAACCAACCTTACAGGAAAGACACTGGCCTCCATCCATAGTTACCAATCATCCAACCTTAGGACACTGACCGCCATCCACAGTTACTCATCAAACAACCCTTGTGTAATGACCTCCATCCACAGTTTCTCATCAAACAACCCTTGAGCAATGATCTCCATCCAGTTACTCATCAACCAACTGTAGGGCATTGACCTCTATTCACAGTTACTCATCAACCAACCCTAGAGCAATGACTTCCATCCACAGTTTCTCATCATCCAACCCTAGAGCAATGATCTCCATCCAGTCACTCATCAACAAACCCTAGGACACTGCCCTCCCTACACATATATGGTACTTATTCCAATCATTCCTAGGAGTGACCCAGACCTCCCTCAGTATGTACCCATCACCCTACCATAGTAACCTAGTTTGATCCATGATGGCTACAGTTCCTGTCTACAATTATCAAGGACGTGATCATGTCCTTAAGCAGTTACTCTCTCTTGACTTCTGTTGACACTAAACTTGACATTGCTCAAGTGACCTATATTCTGATCGCTTTCCGTCCGTTGTCATCCATCGTGCGTCATCCGTCTTGCGTAAACTTTTTACATTTTCAACTTCTTCTCAAGAACCAGCAAATGGATTTTTTTCAAACTTGGCCAGAAGCATCCTTGGTAGATGAGGCTACACAATTGTGAAGTTGGGATTCCTACCCCAACCTGTGGGGCCAGGGCGGGGCCCCAAAGGGAAAATTAACCAATATTTCAAAAATCTTCTTCTCCAGACTCAGAGGTACTTCAGTCATTTTCTGTGCACGGATGGAAAGATCATCAGGGGCTTTATTTAAATTGTCAATTTTAGGAACCCCAAGCCATCTCTTTCCCTTTGGGGAGGGGGTAAAGTTTACTATAGTTTATATAGGGAATTAACACTTTTGTGTATATTTTGACAATTTTCTGTAGGAAATTATTCAAACTTGATCAGAATTATCTTTGGTGTTTGAGGGTATTACATTGTAAAATTGGGATTCCTGCCCCATCTCCAGGGGCTAGGGCGGGGCCCCAAAAGGGAAAATTTACTTTTTTTTTTTTTTTTATTTTTTGA